GTGTACAGATCTCATAAACACAACTTCCATTTTGAAGAATCTGGAGAATTCGATTCCAGAAACAGAAATTATACATGTTGAACCAAAAAAAAGAGTGTTACTAAGTTAAGACATGTCTTTGCTGATAGATTTCATCACCTCCCTACAGAGTTTGTAAAGAGAGAGACATACATCAGGGGAAAAAAATGTCACAGCACTTTGTAAGAATCAAGATAAGATCGCCCTCTTTCTAGCTGTCATGTTCCAGTAAAAGTTACCCAACGGGAAAAACTTTGAGAGAATCTGACTTATAAATTTTAGCAAATTAATTTTGTGTTCTGGACTCTATGTACAGGTAGTCCTCACTTAATGACCATTCCTTTAGTGACCATTCAAAGTTACAACAGCGCTTTAAAGTTATTTATGACCAGTGCCTGAAGTTACAACCATCGCAGCACCCCCATGGTCACATGTTCGCCATTTGTAACCTTCCCAGCCAGCTTCCGGCAAGCAAAATCAATGGGGAACCATGTGATTCACTTAACAACCATGGTGATTCACTTAATGACCACTGCAAAAAGGTCATAAAATCGGGTCCAGTCACAGGATGGTTTGCTTAACAACTGCATCGCTTAGCAACCTAAATTCCAGTCCCAATTGTAGTCATTAAGCTAGGACTACCTGTATCCTAAAACTAAATGTCCCTTTCAAGTTAAGCTCAACTTTTGATGACCCATTACACGATTTTATTAGCATAGTACAGGTCTTAACCAGCTTTCTTTGTTGTTGCTGTTTTTTATTTCAGCTTCACCATGTACTTGACCTGGCCTGGGCTTCCAAAAGCAAGCAAACTACATTATGGCTATATTATGAAGCCAGTCACAGAAGTTAGAATGCATATGTACAAATCCTTATCAGAGGATTGTGTGCCTTTAAACAAATTCATGTCAGGCTGAAATTCAGCCTCTGTAATTCTTTTGCCTCTACTGTAAAGGAGAAAACTGTATTAATTTAATTTATTATGATCTGTTTTGATGTAGTGTAAAAGAAGCTAAAATTTGGTTTGCTTTGAAAAACATATGCGTGTGATCAGTTTCAGGAAGCAGGAACTCCTGACTGACCTTATTGGGGGTATTAACTGGATGGGAGATTATCAGGAAATGTGTTGGAGCAGCAGGTTAGACAGGAATGTTAATGTAGTGTCTATATCCTGCAAGAAGGTCACAGTAAACCACCTCTGTATTACTGGCAAAATAATCACACTGACATGTTCATGAGATCAAAGCATAGAATAAAATGAATAGGCTTGAATTATGGAATGTTATGATGGCACTGAAAGTTGTGTGCTCAGAATGGTAAGAACAGTATATGATGGAGTAAAGCATGTGTGAGAATAAATGCAATGCTTAATGAATGGTTCAATATTGAGCAGAGAGCAGGACAAGGATATGTGCTGTCATCTTGGTTATTTCATGGGTAAAATATACTGAATGCTTGTACTTTGGAATGCAAATGATGCTGGGCTGAGATGATTTCCAGCAAATATTAGATAATTTTTATAACGCAATGAGGACCATGGGTCAAAAAATCAACGTCAAAGATGGAATTAGTCAACAGGGAAATTGGAGTGAACAATTGCAAGTGTGATGGCCAAAAATACCCATCAAGGAAACCAACATAATGGAGGAAGTTCAAATAATAACTTTATTAATTCAAAACTAACATTTACAGTGAGTCACTAGACTCTTGCACCCAGAAGTGCCGAAAACCACAAGCTTGCATAAATCTTATATAGTTTGTTAATTAGAGTCAGTGTGAGCATCCACATTAGAAGAAGATTCCAGATACAGAAATAATTGCTTATAAGGAAACAACCACAAAGGGAAACATGGGTATCCTTCATGGTGTGAAACCATTACAGATACATTCCTAGAGAAGAAACGTAGAATCTTGGATCTGAAGGTTGAACCAAAGCCCTGTTACTTTAATAAACTGATCCTACATTTATAGCAAGAAATGACAAGGAGGTGTAACAACATATATCTCTCTCAAGGTCTGAACTTTGTAACCAGTTAGTCATGAACAAGCACATATTGATTCTATTCTTAAGGATATTATATGAGAGGTAAAGAGAAAGACAAAGGCAATGGTAAACCATTTCTGAAAAACCTTGTGAAGAAAAATGCGGGGACTTGTCCAGGCAGTCTCTGAGAATTGCACAAGATTGAATGGATTAAAAAAAAAGAGAAGGAGAAAGACATCTTACAAACTTACAAATACAGCAATAGTACACTTATATGAGTAAACATACGAATTGATTCAATCCCCCTTAAATCCATCTGGCTCCCACCCTGATGGCATTCCATGAGGCCATGAAGACCTGTTGTTCTCCTAGGCCAGTGTTGTCCAAACTTGGCC